GATTGCTAATTTTAGCTTGAGGCAACCTGTCTTCCTGTCCGGATATAGTATATTCACAGTTTCCTGCCTGGTAAAATCCACCAAATTGGTTTAAAGATAATTGCGGATTTTCCCAGCACCGCCCAGCCGGAACTTTTCACTGTGTTGGTTTGTGGACACCGGAGCCACTACTGAGTTGTAGAGAGAGCCGAGACAGGCCAGTGAATCATTCTCTCCGATACCGGGAAACTCAGGGAACACCCCGCTCCTCCTCCTCTTCGTAACTATCCTATACACAGAACAATAATGGAGAGAGAAGGAGAAAAGAATTGATAGATAGATAAACTTATAAAGAATTTATAGTATGCACTTACGTCTAATGAATGGGGTTTGTATGAATGCAGAATTGCATGAGGTGCAAGGGGGGGGATAAGATGAAATGTTAGTAGTGACAGCAGGCGTGAACGATTAGTCATCTTAATCATTATTAACAAAACTTTTCCAATATTGTTTTTCCCCTCTTTCAGATTTTTTCTTCTCTTTCTTCTCCTTCAATTTCTTACTGAACATCTCATGAATATTTTTTCATCCTTTCTTTCACCTAATTATATTTGCAACAATTCTCAGCATAAACCTGGTTATCTGAACTCCCTGAACCAACCTTTTTATCATTCTCATCTTAAATGTTAGTTTAGGTTCTAGTTCTTTCCGCATAATGTTGATTTATATCGTTTAAATATATTACATATTTTACACTTTTTCTATGTTTTGAACATACATTCAATTTATTCATGCTTCAGTCCCCTTTCTCCAGCAATGCTGGAACTGCTTCTATTAAATGCAAATACACCAATAAATAAAAGATACAATTTGAGAAAAAGAAAATAGTCATTTTCTTTTCTTGAACATCTAATATTTCAAGGTTTTATTCTTGAGAATTACATAGTTTCCATTTTGTACATTTCTGACATTCTAGGTTTCATTTTCGTAAAGGAACTCAGCACTTACCACAATCTCTATATTTCTAGTCCTTATATCTATGAAACCTGAAGATGGTATACCTTTCATATTTAAAATTTAAAGACTGTTAGATCTTGTAGAAACAATAGTTTGAAATATTAAAGGTCTACGACATCAGGTTACAATTGTTCAGTTCTTAAAAGATATTTAAGAATTGTAATATTGAGGTTTCATTTTGTAACATTTGCTTTATTCAAAGATTTATTGGAGAGACGTTTCAGACATTTTAGGTTTCAAACTTTTACAACATTTCTAGGTTTGATTTCTAAATCATGTTCTATTCCCAGGTTTTTATTGTGAAGGATTTTATTGTCTTCAGACGAATATATGGTTGCCCAGACCAGGAGAAGACGTGATGTGGCAGGCTAGAAGGCTGGCGAGAATATTAGTTGAAAACTGACCAAATTAAACATTTTATTTTTACTTCAATTATACTGACGGAGAAATAAAACAATAAAAGAAAATTGTTCCACGATTTGCACGTGCCTTAATATACTTTGACACGTGGATTTATGGAGATCCGTGCTCCTCTTTAAAAAAAATAGGAAATTATCAAGAATTCGTGCTATATTTCTTAAATGCATCCCCCCCCCCTCCATTTTAGATTTCCGTAAAAGTTTGGAGATTCGTGCCTTCTTTAAAAAAAACGGTGGTTTTATAAAGGTTTATTTCCGGCTCTTAGATTTACGTGGATTTTTGTAGATTCGTCGCTATCTTGTCAAAATTTATAGAATTAAAAAATACATATATATAGATTTATGTCGAATCTTTTAAACAAAAAAGAAAATTTAAGAAGAATAATCTCCATGTTAAGCAAAACAGGGGAATTTTATGTTGATATTCGTGACAATCTTCAGAAATTCACATGTATTCAATATTTATGGAAATTAATTTTAAGAATATTAAGAAAATTAGACTATGAAACTATCTTTTCATAATTTAAAACAAAACTTAAAGGAACTGTAAACGTAATTTCAAGTGACCATTTATGCAAAGATACCGATGCCCGATTCACAACGGTACCCCTAAAAACCCTTTTTCTGATCAATAATGTGGAATTGTCATTTTTAGCTTATAAAGTATTTATTTCTGACAATTATTTCCTGCAGTAGAAATGCGCAAGTCATCTTTGTGGATAACCCACAATTGAATGTAATCTGTTTTCAAAGTTTTAAACATTGATTTATACTTCACACTTGATCAGACAAAGCTTTTCATGGTACTGTTGTCAATCGGGCCTTGCCATTTTTGCATGGAGGGTCACTTGAAATTACGCTTACAGTCCCTTTAAGAATAAAAGTTAATCTTGTTTATAAAATTCTCACAGCATTTGTATATTTCTGGTTTCTTTTAATAGATTGAACACATGATATCTCTAGGTCGGGTTCTAGATCCGGTTAGATCAGACGGGATTGGAGATAAATAGATTTAATTAATTTTCAAAGTTTAATAACAGTATTTTAAACAAAAAATAAGTTTTTAGTCTTTAAAAAAACTAATGGAAATGATTACTCTCACGAAACTCGAATTTCTTATTCTTATATCAACGATATGTTGAAGACCTTTGATAATTCAAACGATAAATTGTCAAAGTTAAACAAATTTAAAGTTCACACCACCATCAAGTTACAACGATGTATAGATTCAAAAATAGAGTTTGAGTCGAGTAAAAATCATTTTTATTATTTTTCATCATTGATAATTTCAATGATTTAATTCTCTAATTAATTAAATTAATTCATTAAATCTTCTATTAAACTTAATTAATTATGAATGTCGATGCGTCAAGTTGGAAAGAGCATGATGCATATGTTTAAAAAATATGTAAAAATTATTAAAGGGACTATGAACACTCTCCAAAATTTATTTTATTTTATTATCCCTATATCTTTGCAACCGGATGACGTGAAAGTGTTCAGAGCTGGGAACTTTAGAATGGTGGATATCAGGATTAATGCTTAATCCTCTCTTTTTGCTAATCTCGAGATTAATTATTTAGGTAAACAAATTTGATTCTAGGAACGCCAGATTTGTTCGTTTTCTTGACTGGAAGGGCCTTCACTTAATTTTTCACACATTTATTTGTTAATACATTAGTTAAAATTAGATAAAAAAGAATCTCAAACGTATGGGGAGGTCTCTCATTGGATAGAATTTGTTTTCAAGGCTGTCATTGGTCAATGCAATTTACAAACCATATTCCTGCACTCTCATTGGAGAAAAAAATGTACGGATATCCAAAGTGAGAGAAGAGTTGATTAAGGACTAAAATCAAAAGTTTCCACAGTGGATATTCGGATTAAGCAGTCGGGATTAAAGGTTATCCATTCTAAAGTTCCCAGCTCTGGACATTAATAACAAGAGGAGAACAAGCATTATTCAATCTGGAGATTAAGAAAAAGAGGAGATCAAGCATTAATCCCGATATCCACCATAAAAAGTTCCCAGCTCAGCTCCCTTAATCTGCAGAATGTTAAGGTTTTGGCACTTTAGGTTTGTTTTGCTCGTGGACGAATTTGTTTATCAAGTTCTAGATAAAAACCTGAGCCCGGATATTTGATATCTTTATGTTTACAAATCTACAAAGTGCTGATTACAATCAGTTATTCGGCAGTTTTAGTTTATCCTAATGTTTAAGGAAAAGTAAACATGTGTAAGGAAACACGCCGGGGGGGGGGGCACGACAGAAAAAATGGGGGCCGCAAACCTTTGCTGAATCCCGGCGTAAGTTTTAACATTGACCCGGAGTATAGTATAACATTGAATCTGAGTATGTGAGCAATGAACCCTTGTAATCGGAGCTAGCGCCCGAGAATAGAACTTCAATATTCAAGCACGTTTTTAATCACGGTTCGTTTTTCCCAAATAATTTTGTAACATCCCCCCTTACTCCCCTTCCCACTTCCCCCCTCACTGCACCCTTCTATTATTAGCGGAAAATCAGTGAAATTGTCTTAACCCTGGAACCGGATTTAATAAATAGCAAGACATCGTTGAACCGCATAGAAGTGGTTCAAACATGTTCCTTAAGTGGTTGAACTACATCTGCTCGGTTCACCTACTTCATGCAATTGATTAAATCTGGTCCCCGGAGAAATTATATCTGAATAAAGCTTGTAGTGCCTGTTGAGGTGTGTCCGGAGCAACTAAGCCTGAGAACTCCTTGCCACCTGTCCTTCCATTGTTTTAACTTTTTTCTCCTTCATCGAGGTTTTAACAATTTCTTCTTCCATATTTCTCGACCTCCTCATCTCATGCCATCTTTCTTAAAGTTTTAAATTTGTTTCAGCTCTTGTTGTTCAACTTTCAACCTGAAACTTTTGTGTTCCGTCTCCGGGTCCTGATCAAAGTAGGAACATGTCTCTCATGTGAAAACTGTCAATGGTTTGAAGTAAGGTCGAGGAAGGATATGGAAAACATGAATTAGCTCCCAGCTATTCCGAGCACAAGCTCTCAGTGCACGTTCAATAAAACTAATTTTAAACATTATGAGGAAACAGATAGTTTTCATTTTTATTACTCAGTTTATGACCCTGCCAGAGTTGAAGATAATTTTCTTTTATATAGTTCATAAATAATATTATAGAATCCTTCTAAACCCTGGGATATCTATAGAAATATAAACCTAACATTGTATTGTAATTATTTTAATTAAACCTTGACTTGATTTACTGATAAACAATTGTTTATATTTATTAAATATCCATGGTGTGCTAAAGTGTTGCGAAGTAATATATTATTTTAGTTTAAGCTGAGAGAAAAGGTTTCAAGAAATATTGTTTAATGTAATTAGTTTAGAGAAGAGTGCGGAGTTAGGGGGGGGGAGTGAGGGATGGTTATCCTCGTGATGAAGGGCGAGGGGGGTGGTTATTAGGGTGAAAGAAAGGGTTGAGATGAGTCAGGAGAGAAAATCTTCAAAGTATGAGAACTAAAGGGAAACAGCTAAATTGTTTAAAGTTTTGAAATTTGAAAAAGATGGGAGGGAGAAGATAGAGGAGCTAGCTTGAGCTAAAGGAATTAAAGAAGATTGCAGAGAAAACTTAGATCTGAAGGAATATAAAAAGTAAGAAATAAAAGAAAAGATAAAAAAGAGATTTAAGAAAGTGAAGGTTGGAAGGTTTGAAAATATGGAAGTAGCACATTTCAGAGTCAAGATGACAGGAGAAAAGTTTGAAAATTAAGAATGAAAACTTAAAAATATCATTGTTAAGAATTATTATTATCAAACAAAAATTAGAATGGTTTTCCAGCTAATATGGCACGTGAAAACAAAATTAAATAAGAAAGTAAAAAGTAAAGAAATGTTTTTTTAAAGGAATTGAGTCTTTGCCACAAACCCTGATTTTATAATTCTTATATCTTCGCGACCCAATGGCGTAAACCTTGGATATTTCAAACTTTGAATTCTGTTAGATCAAAAAAACTAAATTTCAACTATCAAGAGTCTACACCCTAAGGTTGCCAAGATATAGGGATTCAAAATTTGAGTTTGTGGCAAAGACTCAATTTCTTTGTGTGAGAAAATTGTAAAACTAGCTGGATTTGTTGCAAATAATTATATTTGCAGGATTTTCCACAGCATTCAATATTTTCGTCAAATATTTCAAATAAATAAAGAGCGCATTCAACTCGGCGGAAAATTGTAATTTTTGCAAATTTAAACTAAATTTTGCAAATCATATCGTTCGCTGTGTGCGTGATAGAAAGCGCGGAAGGGAGTAAGCAAAATATAAATATACAGGCCGGGCACGTAGGACAGAGACACAGAGTAGAGATTAAAATAAAAAGAATAGATGGAGAGGAGAGAGATGGATAATGTTCCCAAGGTTTAATCACACCTGGAGTTTTAACCTCAGCTCAATATGAGATATAGAGCAGCAAAACAAATCTAACAAAAACAGAGGCAAGAACGCATACATACGAGAAGGAGGGGTTTTGTCACACTAAAAAAAGGGAGCAAGGATAAGGGGGGGGGGATAAGATATGGAACTGTCTATCTTTCTCTAAACATAGAGTCCTTACATTTCTTATGAATAGTTCTTTATAATACACAACATTACTCAAAAGAAGGGGATCGTAGAGAGGGGAGGCTCCCCCCCTCCCATTTAGGACCTAGTAGGAGTAATCTTTAAATATTTCAAGAAGAATGTAAGCACTGCTAACAGCTAAACCTTGAGTTAAGGAAGTTTTCTGAGAATAAACTGTTGTTGCTTACAGTTTTAGGAAATTTACTGTTAAACTTTTCGGAGATAAACATAGAATTAATTTATTTAAATGTGACCATGCCTGGGAAAATAGCCTTGCTTTGTTTATAATTTTTCTATTGTTCTTTAGGCATATATTTAGCCATTGTAAAATTCTTAAATAATTATTCTTTAGAAAAAAACAATCCTAAAAGGAGGAATGCTTGTCGTCTTTCTTTTTTTGAAAAACGCCGCTAATATTTTGTAAATAAATTATTTCATCAAAAATTCATGTTTTGAAGATTTCTTTCTTATTTTGTATCTTTTGTCAGAGTATAGTGAAGCAAGGCGTTAAATCCTATTTATGGAGTTGGCGATGGGAGGGGTTGTTTCAGAGAGAACTTGTTGGAAATCAATTTAAAAATATCGATTACAAGAACTGAGATGGTTCCTAGAGTATGCGTGGGGAGGATAATTCTCTGGTTTTGATCCAACCCTGCTCTCATCAATCGGACCGTAATCTTTGATTTCCGTTACTCCGGAGTTTCGTCCCAACTTCGGGGATCGTTTCGGAGAACAGGAATTATCCTTGGATTGAGCTCGTGTGAGCTTATTTCTTATTCCAGAGCGTCTAGCTTGATCGGCTTGAACGATCTCTTGGTTTTCCTGGATCCTTCTAAGAGCAGATGGAGAGGGGAAGTTAGTATCACTGCTTAAACTAATGCTTGATTCACTTTGATCGGATCTAGCTGAGCTGAACCCGCTAGAACTAGAGGTTCTTTTACCCAAACCTGGTTTAATTGAAGACCCGGATATATGTGAGGTTCGACCAATCTTTAATCTTTCCAGCATACTCTGCTTAGTATTTCCGCTTTGATCATAGTGTGTAGGGATTATCCCATTTCTTTCGGTTCTCCCTGTTGGGGGTTTTATCCCGGGTTTATCCCCCAGTTTCCCCAGGTTTTCCCCCTGTTTTACTGCAGTCGGGATGCTATTTGATTTACCCGGTAGAAAGCTTCTGTTTCCCTGGATCTCTACTTTCTTATTCTCTCCCCCTCTCTTAGGGGACAAACCGGAACCTGGGATGGGAATACTGCTCAACTTGGCAGGAGAATTCGGTACAGAACCTCTCTGTATACCCGTCAGATGCTTCTGTTGTTGTTTAAACCTAGAAAGTTGAAAAAACAATCCTAGGATTGCTTTTAGGTTTCCTTCTCGTATTTCCTCCGGTAGTATATCCTCCACTGCTACTCCTTTAGCCCGGAGAAAATTTAAACATGCCTGGATATTAGTCACCATTGCAGCATTAGTTTTGGGTTTTTTGTTGATATCTGGAATTTTCTGTTGAGTCACGGCCTCAATAACCTCGGAGAGAATAATTCCATCTGACAGTTCAGTCTGGAGATCGGAGATACGTTTCTTTCCTTTAGTTTTATCCAGATAATGGTTCGCCCAGTCTGTGTAGATCTCAATGATAGATTTCTGACTTTTTGAATCCGTACTCTCGGATGAAACTGGTCTCAAACAAGCCATGTTTAAGCCGCAGTATTTTCTTTGAATTTATTATGTCGAATTTTCTCAGCGTTGCTGGATTCCTAGGTTTCGCAGATTTTCTCAGTTTTACATAAATCCTTAGCACTGCACTGTAGGATTATCAGTGTAGGATTAGTGTAACTGATGATTACAGTGGAAGGATTATCATCTCCTGTTTGTAGGTTTGTGTGTCACCCAACTATTGAGGAAATGACTCAACCGGTTGATTGATTGAGCTGTATTGGAAGAGGGGTGTGTGGGGGGGGGTAGGTATAAGGTGAAAACTGTAGGGTTGGTAGGGTAGTCCTTTATCGATCCATAAACACTGTTATTCCACTCAATAATCCTGTCATCAAGCTTTATTAGATAAATATTGACAAATACGAAGTAAAGATTGAGATTGATAAAAACCTTATCATATTGAGGATAAGGACAACGTGAATATGGATTGAAAGGGGGGGAGGGGGTGAAAGGGAACTATACAATTAGGTTGCTGTCCACAACAAGAAGAAAGTTTTGTCTGCAAGATTTCCAAATATGCTTAATTATCTTGAAAGGATCAATAAGAGAAATGGTTCAATAAAATGGTCAGGTCATGGATTTTATAAAGGAGCTTGTTCTACAAATATGCTTAATTATCTTGAAAGGATCAATGAGAGAAATGGTTTAATAAAATGGTCACGTCATGGATTTTATAAAGGAGCTTGTTCTACAGCTTGAAGTCCTGTTCAATTCAAACAAAATTGTGAATATTCGTATTTTTCGTTTAGTTCTTGAAATATGAAGCATTTATTTTTCAGCACCATGAAAATAAGGGATTCAAATTGCATATATTTTATTTCTAATATTATTACTTAAAATCACCAAGAGTAATGTATATTTAACATAATATTTTGTATTTGAACACCAGTAAATTTAAAAATGAATGACATAAATGTAGCGCAAAATATTTGAGAAATTTTGCAAATAAAATTGCAACTTTATTGCTAACAATAATGTGCACATTTTGAGAACACGTGATCTCGTTGAGCACAATAATTGTTTGAAAAAAATATTGTTTACATTTCTTATGTCAAGAAAATGAAAAATAAATGTAAAACTTTTTTAAAAAGCAATAAACAGACGCATTCAAATAATAAAATTATGGGGAATTAAGTTTTCGTTAAGAAATTCACAAATTTATCAATCGCTAAGAAATAATATTCATAACAAAGGAATTAAATTTTTGCTACAAACTCGAATGTTCTTATCTTTGCAACCTGTTTGTGTAAACCTTTGATGTTTCAAACTTAGTCTATTTGATCCAAAAAAATTTATAGTTTGAAATATCAAAGGTCTAAGACATCGAGTTTCAAAGATATAAGTAAAAAATCGGAGTTTGTGGCAAAAACTTAACTCTTTTTATCCCTGGAAAAGTCTAAGATTGTTAAAGAGACTTTAGGCGAAATTTCAACACCCCTTATCTTGGTCGGATCAAATGCAATTAGATATTAATGTTTATAAATGTAAATTCTCAACAAAACATATAGAAATCATCAGATTTAAACCAATATTAAACCGAGAAAAACGACAATATCTTTCACATTCCTGATCAGATAAAAGGTTTCAAATGTACCGTTGTGAATCGGGCATTGTCATCTTTGCATGGAGGGTCACTCAAAATTACGCTTACAGTCCCTTTAATTACACTAATTGAAATTAATGTTAAAGATTTAACATTGAAGATAAAAATTCATAAAATTCCCAGGTTTTTATGTTTAATCAATCGTTTTATGTCATTTTATATGTTTGCACAGTGTACACTTTCACCATATTTACTTAGGCAGTTTTTTATTTACCACTGAGACCAGCATATGCAGGGAATACACGGACAAGAAGGGAGATAGGAGGGTAGGATGGGTTTATACCTATTTACCTAATGCCTATCTTTGTTTGCTCTCAAAACATCACTTTGCAATAAAATCTTATCATATCATACTGTACAGAGAATATTCTACCTTATATCCTTCTATTCTTCTATTTTTCTATCCTTCTATCCTTCTATCCTTCTATCCTCCTATCATTCTATCCTTATTTTCTTCTATTCTTCTATTCTTCTATCCTTCTATCCTTCTATCCTTCTATCCTTCTATCCTTTTATCATTCTATCCTTATTTCCTTCTATAATTCTATCCTTCAATCATTCTATCCTTCTATCCTTCTATCCTTTTATCATTCTATCCTTATTTCCTTCTATAATTCTATCCTTCAATCATTCTATCCTTCTATCCTTCTATCCTTTTATCATTCTATCCTTATTTCCTTCTATAATTCTATCCTTCAATCATTCTATATCTTCTATCCTATTCTTCTATCCTAATTTCCTTTTTTCTTCTATTCTTTAATTCTTCTATCCTTTTTTCTAAGAATATCTTCTATTCTATATCCTATTTATTTTTTCCTTTTTTCTCCATCTATTCTATTTCCCACTTATTTTTCCTTTTTTCAAGAATCCTCCAATTTAATTAATTTTTGATTAGCTTTGTCCTTCTTATATATGTAATGTATACACATTATATATAGTATACTGTAACAAATATTTTTAAATGAGAATACTTGACATTCTTTAATAAAATGTTATTTCAAACTCAACAAATTAACAATTATTCTAAATCATTGAAAATCCTCTCGTTAAATTATATTTTTTAAAGAAAATATTGGAAAATCTGAATGTTTTGTATACTCCTGTATTCATTGTAATGGATTATATTTACGGCCAATTAATGTAATTATGAAAGGATAATTTATTACAGTTACACTGAACCCTAATTACAAGGTTTACAACCATTTAAATTTGAAAAGACGATGATGGGGAGAAACATTGAACTGTGAACACTATTGTGTGTTCAATAAAATGAGTTCAAACATGTTCATAAACATATAATAACAACTCAAGAACCTAGCATTGCCCAGGGTAATCATAGTTACTCCCGCCGTTTACCCGCACGTAGTCGTAAATTACGAATTTAGCTATTTTTCCACTCAACTTAGAATCTCACAACCTAGTTAAGAATATTACCGTGGTTTTCCCGAGTTCCCAAATCAATATTTGAGGCAAAAATGGTCAAGGGGTTCAAGAGTTATGATCGGACATACAAACAAACAGAGATTACAACCTTATATATAATAACACCACCATCCACCCCACCTAACTTTAGATAACAATTTACGGATAATGTTAGATGACAAAATATGAACCAATCGTAAATACACATTACTCACAGACCAACAGTTAAATATGGATAACAATAGAAGGGGTAAACTTTTGATAACAAAAGATAGGTTAGCTCTTGATAATAATATACATATATTTGCGGATAAACATGTTAAACATGTGTTTCAGATAGGAACCAAAGATAGGGTTGAATTCAATTCTCACCCCCCCCCCCNAATATTCAAACAAAAAATTATAAAATTTAAATCAAATAGTAGAAACTTAACGCTATTTATAAGTGCAAACAATATCCAGGACCTTAAAAAAGTTCAGAATATTCATTGAAATCAGAAAGAAGGGTTCGAAAGTAACATAGGTTTAGTGTTATAACTAATTGTTATATGAGTGTTTGAGGCATGAGTGGCTGTGTGTATGAGTGTATGAGTGAACGAAAGGTTGAGTGTATGAGTGTGCTCAAGGATTAGGATGGATTTGTTTCTGTTCTGAGCTGCAGGGTGAGATCCGTCCCTAGGGAGAAAATATCCAGTATAGTCGGGATACACGGGATATAGGATCAGTCGTATCTCAAGATAAAATAAAACCACAATAGTTTAGAAAATATAAAAATGTATGTTGCTAGAGAATTTATAAAGTTTGGATACTACATTATACTAAATACCACTGGATTAGATAAATAAAGAAGATTGATCCTGATCCCAGACAAATTTCTATTCATTATAATCCCTAATCCTTATAATGAACTGGATTGTTTGGTTAACCAATCCATATAAATTCAGTAATCCCTACTCAAGGATATTGTAAAGAAAATATTGAAAAGAATCTTTCAATATTTGAAAACCCTCCTGTATTGAATCCTTTAAACTACCCAAACAGCTGTTACGAGACACCCTCAGGCTGCAGTAGAGAATATTATAAAGAAGATAAAATAATCGATTCTACATTTCACGCCTGGAAAACATCTAATGTTTAAAAAATATTTTAAATTTTTAGAAAATTTATGAAATATTTGTCTGTCTCAAATATCCACATACAATCTAAAGATATTCTAAAACTAGTATTAAACTCCATCGGACAGAGAAAACTGAGTTCAATTCACACGGTTAAACAAGGAGAAGCATCAGCAGGAAGCAAGGTCGGATGACAAATCAGAATCCTGGTATTATGTATTGGACTCAGAACATAGGTTCAAACCAACTCAGGGTATATTTATAACCAGGACAAGCAAACCTGGGTTTCTAGAAAAATCAGGGTTTATTTCAACCCTGGATCAAGATTTCAAGCCTTCTCATGGTATGTAAAAGACCAAGAAACAGATGTTCAGTAAAATCTTGATATGGTTAGGGACAGGATCATAATTTTACATTATTTTAAGATCAGAATCATAGTTTCATGGTTTCCACCAAAGAAGGATCAAGGATTTTCGAACAAGTTTAAAAAAATAAAATCCATGAATAAAAAATAACGCCATGACTAATGTATAGTATGCGTATCTTTAAACTGATCTAAAACATGATGTTGCAGAGTAGTGTGAGCTTGTATTCATTATGCTGTAATGTACAAATTCAGAAGCAGTCAAGAATGAGGTCTATAGAATAATAATTCCACCTTTCCCCCTCCTTCCCCTACATCTATTGTTAAATATATTCTAATTGATTAATGTTAATCTTTTTCCTTGAAATGTTCTCTATTGTGTTCGGGGGGAAATTATTATTTACTCAAATACTATTTTTATCAGTAACAAGGTAAAAGAAAACATGACGTTTTTTGTGTTTGAATGAAAAGTATTGTTTTTGACTCAGTTTTGAAAATTTAGATGTTTTGATGCATAAAGAATGGTAAAAGAAACCGCTGCATGTGCAGGATTGATATTTTATCAGCTGGAATCATTGGATGATTCAGAAAGTTCAAACTCACAAGGCTTGATTCTCTGAACGAATATATGCATTTGATCACGGAGCACGGACGAGGGAATGAGAGAGACATGTTCCAAATTTCCCTTTATCTAAGATGGTGCAGAACTACAACATGGATTGTATTTATTTATGTTCTCCCAAACCTCTGGAGAAAAATCACGTAAACTAAATATTGGAAGAGGAAGAAATTGCTAATTTTAGCTTGAGGCAACCTGTCTTCCTGTCCGGATATAGTATAT